GATGGATCATATGCCGCGGCCGGGATATCTCCTTTGAGCCCCTTGTCCGAATTCATTCTAATGCTGAGCGTGCAGTGCATGGGCCTCATCCAGCTTCATGTGCACATTCCTGTCTTCGAGCTTCTGATGTCTACGCCTTGAAGTCTAGCATAGGGATAGGGTACACTGGTTACGGGTGTTTGAATTTACTCAGGCTCACATGCGGGATCTGGACAGATTTTATTCCGAGATAGGCCGGTAAAATGGAAGATTGCACCTGTGCATGTCTGATGTTTGGCTTGTGTGATCATGTGAGCTTCGTCTGACGTGATGCCCTGACATCTTTCAGCTAGTGGCGCATGCGTGAGGAGTGTTTTCGATGGGCACGCGTGGAAGAATGACTGTGTATCGTATGAGCCCCTACGCCTTTCATCGATTTGAATGTGAAATCGTGCGCTTGATTGGACGGCCATGGCGCCGAAACATGCTGTTGATGAGTCCGGATTCCAGATGATGCTGGATGCTTGGGCAAAATTGCCCGATGAGGTGCTTAAGGACCATGTGTGGGAATCATAGACACGCCATGTCTCATTGCAATGGGTGTGTAATGCGAACATGTAGCTGCTAGCTAGATGTGTAGATCGCGCAGGACATGGTGGTCTTTAAACGGGTGTCCGAACTCAACGAGGTTGTGGAAAACCTTACGGATGATGATTTGGAGAACAACAAAACAATGTTGTTGGCGTGACCTGCCTGCATGCTTTTAACGATATGCGCATGCACACTTAAGATCTCGAGAGCTGTTACTTTGCCATCTTCCAATTCTAAGGTCCCTACCTGTCTTTGAACGTACGAGGCATGTGTGGAACCAGCCCAACCTGGAGAAATGCTTTTCGCGATTCCTGAAGGACCTTATGCGTGAACTAAATTGAGTTTAGATCTAACGCGTGTGATCACTTCGCATGACATGACTGATCTTCACCATCAGGAGGAAAAAACTACTTTGCAGGTGGCGAAGTGGGCCATTGGCTTGCGTGGCTTGGAACCTTGGATACATCAATTAGGATCCACATGCCTGTGTGGCCCTTGGCTTTGAAATTTCTTCGTGTGCGTTCACTTTGCATCTGCGTACCTAGGCCCAGCATATTGTCAGATCCGCCAAGCGCACTGTGGAGTCGGGCAATGCTACGTTTAGAACCTTGAAGAAGGCATGTGGCCCTAGATTGCTGGAGAAGCGGCCACGGCGGATCAATCCAACTCCCTCAGGCCATGAAACTCTGCACATTGATCGGAATGTCCATGAGCCATGTTTTTTTGCCACACCGAATTTGAAGCATGAGGAGTCCCAGTTGATCCGGGTCCGGCGTCTGCAGATGGAGCGCGACGCATGGATAGCATGTCAACGCAAGCAGCAGATAGCCAAGGACGGGGACGCATGCCCCCTCCCCCAAAAGCCCCATCGTTCTTGACGGCTGTCATGGCTGACTTGGAGAGCAGAGATTCTACGGTCTTTGACCACACCCTCCAGTACAAGAAGCAGTTCAGAGCATTGTGTAATCAACCTTCGCGATCTTCTACACAAGGCCCGTCATGCGCTGTACGCACCCCATTATAAGATATGTGGTTTTCATGTCGTGGCCTCATGTTGCATGCGTCTCTCTTTCTATTTTCGCCTGCAGGACAAGCTATGCTGGACGCTCGCCAGGAAGAGGCCCGCGCTGCAAATGCAGAAGCAAGCATGAAAACTGTCAGCCCATTGCAGGTGGACAAGTCATTGCGTGAGGAGTTCCCAAGTTTGTTTGAAGATGAGGGCGAGGATGATGCCGCGGCCCCCGCGGAGGAGGAAGACGAAGGATTGGACACCCTCGACTCAGACTTGGAAGCAGCCCTTGAGGAGGAGTTGCTAAAGGCCCGGGGCACACTTGAAACTATGCAACACAATTTGCCCGCGTAGCGTGCTGCCACTTTTGCAGGACCCCGCCGGCTTGGCGGATGACGATGAGCACATGTATGCTATGAAAGTTTTGGAAGCCGCGCGGAACAAGGCGTGAGGATGACCATTTCCTGTCGGAACCATGTTTCATGATTCATCCTGATTAATTGTAAACTGCTTCGGATGCAGGGTAGTGGATCAAGCCTTGACATCGAGCAAATGCACCCCACGGAGGTTGGATCGATCTGCGTGTGTAAATAAATAAATGAAGAAATAGATATATGCACATATATATATATACATATCTCTTTACATATCTAGATG